CCCTAAACTCTAAACCCTAGGAAACCCCCATATGTTGGGAAACTCCGAAACCCCCCTGTGACAGCGCCCCTAGGCCGGGCCTTGCTATAGCCACCCAGCATGGACCTTGATAAGACTCGGACATTGAGTTTCAAAATGGGCTGGGGTTTAGGGTTTAGGGGTTGAGGTGGTAGGTTGGCAACATATTGTGGTCCCATTGGGTCCGCATCAGAATACGGCCCTGAATATGTAGGGCAGACAAAATGTGACCATAGTTTCAACCATCTATCAGGTGTTCTTAGGTCCGTTTGAATGAGTTACAGGGATACATGCGTTTGAGTTTCTCACAACTGGAATATACGCTCAGGCACTTCAGTCCGCTTAAAAGGACTAGAACGATGCAGGGATTTTGTTATTTGTTTCCGAACCTTTTGCCTCTGCAGGAATGCAAGGAGTTTGGGATCTGTTTTTTTTCGAGATGAGGCCTTCCCTTGGAATCTCAACACGCATATATATACATATATATATATCTATGTATGTATGTCTGTATGTATCTATGTATCTATGCATGCATGAATGCATGCATGCGTGTACGTATGTATGTTACGGGGGTCAGAAACGGGGACAGTAAGTATAGCGTTCCGTGCTTGCGATTACATGGCATTTTTTCAATAACTCTCGGGCAAACCTGAAAGAAAAAAAGCTGCCCTTCCCCTAAGCCCGAACACCTGGAATCGGAATCCTGTTTAAGGACTGTTGAAGATGATCATTTTCCACATTGCGCTCTGCGATATGCAAACGTGTTACATGTTGTTCACAACGTGAAACATGGCCCCGTATTTCTAAATCTGAATCTCAGCACCCTACCTGCTGCTACATTATAAAAAGAGACCCAGTATGACGTATGACCTGGAACCAGCCAAAATTACAGGCGGGGTGGAAACACATAAGACCAACCCCCTGGAAGTGGCAGTGTCCCAGAATAGAGGGACCCCAATATAGACCCCCAAGCCTCGTAATCCTTCTTCTAGGAACTACCAAAAAGATGTGGCCTAAACCCGAAACTCGGAAGCCTAAACCCTGGAAGTATGTGGCTAGTCTGAGTTGCTGGCTGCAGCGCGCCCATCAAACCTGCCCTCAGCAGTGGAAGTGGCTGAGTTAACCCTAAAACCTAGGCCTTGTATATAGTAATCTCAAATTTCTTGTCCATTCCCCCTATATAACCCTGTATAAAACTGTATGTCCCTCTATAACCCCTAATATTTGACCTCATGTAGGGACCTACTCAGAAGGGACCTACTCAGCATAGGCTCAGGGCCGCCGTCGGGCCTGAAGAAGTAGAATAGTGCCGTGCCAAGGGATACTATGGTACCCATTAGGGT